TATATATATATAAAATATATATATATATATATATATAAACACATATAGACACATTTTCATATGGTGCTATAATGCTATAACAGAGTGCTGCAGCCTTACTGATTTACAACTTAAGATGAAATCATGGCTAAAATCAACATCAGCATGTACCCATCAAGCATTAACTCCAACACTTGATGTGTTTTAATGTTGTGACAGCTTGTGGTTGTGTTGTGCTGCCTTAATGTTGTTGCTGTACAGTGAATATGTACTGTGTTTTAATCATATTTTTATACTACAGTTTTTTAACAGATAAGTTATTCTGGTTCCTGCCCAGGGACTACATATGTAAATGAGCTCCTAGCTAACTAGTAGAGCTAAGCTGAGGACTGTAAAATGAATGAATAAATGAGCAATGAGCATGGAGTCTGGATGTTTGTGCTCCACAAGCACAGGGTTAGAATCAGCTTTATTTCAGAGTACAGAGTGCGTCTCACACACACACACTAATACTAAAACATGATCAGCTGACACAACAAAGGTCTCAAAACTAGATTTGGATGGATAACCTCTTGAAGGCCTCAGGTAATAAAGCCCACATGGAGTCAGTTGATATTGTGCTTTAGTGGAGCAGATCACCACCTACCATCTGCTCCACAGTGAACATGGGGTTATGCTGACTGAGACCCAGCGCATGCTGGTCCAATGAAAGCTTTTATAGTTCAAGAGTCCGCCAACACATCACTCTGAAGAGAAAATATGACTTGTTTTATATCATTTGTATTTTGACTGATTTGATCTGTTGGGTTATGGAGTCTGGTGGCCTCCGGTTTACATTGTGTTCTCCACTGAATCACATTGAGCTGCAGCCTGCAGTGATTGATTGGTGTTGTCTCATGTGTGTCAGATTCAATGATAGCTACAGACCCGTCCCACCCAAGATGATGACCAAACCACTCCCCCCCCTTCTTTTCCTGCCCTTCACACACAGAAAGAGGACAGGAGTGAGCTGAGACATTACAGTTAAGCCTCCTTACAAGTTGATGAATTACAATTAGTTTAGAAACAAAGCCTGCTGGAGCTCCACAGGTGGGATTTGAGACAGAATGAGATCTGAGCACAGCATGTGTGAGTGTTAAGTTGTAAACGTGCTCCCTTAGCTTGTGTGCAGGGTGCTGGCAGCAGCAGGACGAGCCCGTCCTCTTCTAATGGCAGCACGTCATTTATACCATACAGCTGCTGGAGGTCTTCCCAGAACCTCCACTTCCAAATGTCAGAATATCCGCTCATTGTCTTTGATAAAGTGAGACAACATAGTTTAAATGATAGTTATTCAATAAGAGCTTTGTCTCTTTTCTTGAGACGTTTAGGGATGAAACTATTAATTGAGTAAAGAAAGTCAACTGTTCTGCTGAACATCAGTGTGGTGATGCTGCCTGCAGCTCAGCTCCTGGTGTGGACATGAACATCATGAAGGAAAGTGAAAGCATGCACACTGAGCAGTCTCCTCTTCCAGTGCCAGCAGCCCTGAAACTAACGTCACCTTCACACATCATACGCACCAATCATACGCCGTAAAGGCACCATGCACAGAGAACACACATATATCAATCATTGATAGGTTTATTTAAACATTGTTTCAGGTCATTCATACATCATGATTAAATAATACCACTGTGTTGTTAAAGGTCCATTTATTTATTGAATTTTTCAGCAAACTCAACACAACATGTGACATATGATGATCCCATGAGGTTAAGGTGGATCCACACACAGAGCAGCAGGTGTTTGTGCTCCTCTTAGCTCCACTGTGTTCACCTGCTAGCCTCTACTGTCTGTCTGCTGCTAGCGGTTAGCTGATGTCAGCTAGTGTACAAACTGCTGCTGCTGGAAACGAGAGCGAGCAGAGCTGAAAGTGAAAAGACAAGCTAACAGGCTGAAGGGGAACTGCAGAGGTAGAGTTCTCTGTGTTTGTCACTACATAGACCTACTGCTAGTATAAAGCATTGATTAATGCAGCTTTATCTGGGCTGCTTTAGTGTTGGAGCTAACGGCTGCTGTAGATGGCTTGTGGCCCCTGATCACAGTCACATGCTCATCTCTGACATTATAACATTCTCTTATAGTTTGAACTTTCCTTTAGATCCTCAAACACCACGTGGACATGGTTTAGTGTTGTGGTCCATGCAGACTGTTGCTTCTGTCCCATCTTACAGACACACAGACTCCTCCAACCTTTCATGTGTGAAGCCGTCCTGTTGATCGGTGATGGCACTTCCTAAACCAGAGACTAGTGTGATGGAGGCAGATCATGCCAGCAGGTCAGTGTGCATGTGAGCAGCCTATTGCTGCTCTATTCTACACACCTGCATCACATCAACGTGAGCACGCTCTGTGCCGACAGGGCATTACTGGGCTTTCATAGCATATTGGAGATGATAATGACAAACCTCTGCAAGTTCAGGACAGAATGTTGCTGAATAGCTCATCCTCACTATGACCACCAGGCTGTGCTCTGTATCCTCACCTGTTTGGGTTCGAGATGGTACAACTACGAGATGTGATCGGGCAGATCAAAGGTACACACTAATGATGGGGGCGGGACAGGAAACACAAATACTTGAGTCATGTAAAAATGCAGATTGTGAGGAGTTGATGGCGGGGCCATGTCAACACCTCCAGAACCAGAAGGACCCGAGTGTGACATTACACACCCGGTTCATCCATTCATTCATTGTAGCGCTGTGCTGACTGATTGATTGTTGTACTTCTTTCCTGTGTTGACCAATGGGAGCGCTCAATAGAGAAGACTATCCAGCTCTAAATACAACACAAACACATACAGGATAGAGCCGTTAGTGTACACAGCTGTGTTTGGATGCACTTGATAAGTATTAGATAAATACGCTCCATGTGGAAGAAATCTCACTGAGGGTTTCTGGGTGAAAGAAGGCAAAACCAGAAGAAGTTTTTATTGCACTACCAAGTTGTCTGTGACTTCACCAATGGTTGCTGTGTGAATCCATGTCCTCCTTATGCAGAAACCACTTTCACCCGTCTGCAGTAATGGCCAGCACATCACCTTCAACAGTATGGAAGCAAGCTGATGATGACAGCAGCAGTGTTTTCTGCTGAACTCCTCCCCGTCCCAACTTCACTCCAATCCAGCTGTGATGACATCAGACGGTCTCCATGGACACTGAGCTCAGTGCCAACCAACAGGGGGAGTATTCACCTTCAGGCCTGCAGTGTGTTGTCAGCAGGGCTCTGTGCAGGGCTCTGTGCAGGGCTCTGCTGCTTCTTCTTGTGGCTGGGCCAGCGACACACCGGGCAGCAGTGTCTGCCAGCTGCCAGCCACACCGCGATGCAGTGCTGGTGGAAGGCGTGGCCACAGGGCAGAGCCATCAGCAGCTCCTCGCTCACAAAGTTCTCCAGACACACCACACACTCGGAGCACTGCAGCACGCCACAGGGCCACACCGACCAATCGCAGAGGCAGCCGTCCTTCGCTGCCCCGTTGGCAGATGGCGAGCTTCTGTTCCCATGGCGACAGCAGAAGGGCCGACAGCTACTGCCGGCCTCCACGTCGTTGCACACAGGCGGCTGTGTGTTGCTGTCCTGATTGCACAAAGACCTCCTGTGTCTGCTGCTGCCGTGTGGAGGGGAATCCATCGGCTCCCCACTCTCTGTGTCTGAATGTGAACTATCCGACTCCTCACCAACAGCTCGGAACCTCCAGGTGGGCAGGGCTTTAATATAGTCCATGTTTACTAAAGGGCGAAGCCAGAGATCAGGGAAAGCCAAACGCTCCAATAAGAAGCGGGGGTCATCCTCCCAGTCGGAGTGGTCAGACGGGACCTGCTGCAGCGATGCCATTGGGTGGAGCAGATAGGAAGTGTACCAGTCCCACAGACTGGCCAGCCACTCCAGGTTGGTGGTGCTGTCCTCTTGGCTCCTGATGCCACAGCGGCGTTTCTTCTCAAAGTAGTCGACCAGCAGGCCGTGGGCCAGGTAGGTGGACAGGAAGAGAGCTGGGTGGGATGAGTAGAAGGTCCAGTCATCTCTCACCAGGCTGGCCAATGTGGTGGTGTCAGCATACCGGAGCAGCTTCAGACTGTAACCATACAGAGTTTCCAGATAGGGCAGCTGGAGGAGAGCCTAGAGGAGTGATCAGTGATCAGTTATCATCAATTCAACAAAGTCAGGAAGTCTATGGCTAAACAGTCAGTGGCCACGTTATTAGGTCTATCTTCTAAAACTAGGTAGGAACACCCTTTTCCCTCACAACAGCCGGGTTTCATGATGACATGGTTTCTACAGGCTGCTGGACACCTTCATTACACCTTCACATACTGACCTGATATCAGATCACTGATGTTCACTAAAAATCATTGTCATGTTGGTGGAATCAGTCTGGTTTCAGCACTCTCTTGCACATTTACAGTTAAGTTGATTGATAGATAGATAGCTATATTATTATTATTATATTATATATTATTATATTCCAATTCAAAAGGTATTGTTGGGTTGGTAAGCCTCGTACCGAACGGTTTAATACGAACACGTGTCTTGTTACACCTCTAGAAACAAATAACCGCAGCTGTGGCGTCATCATGAGGTTATTAGGAGATGGCTCAGCTGTAGGAGGACAGCACTGAAGGCCCAGGTATAAAACACACGGCCCGCCACTGACATACACACACATATATATACTTTTTTTCTTGTAAAGCGTCTTTGGGTATTTTGAAAAGCGCTATATAAAATTGATGTATTATTAATAGAAGTGCTATATAAATAAATTGTTCATATTAATGTATATATACACACATTTTGCAATGTATCCTAAAATGTAGTTATCAAACTCTTGTGAGAAAGCTTTGTAATGGATGCAGGACATTTTACAGTTGACCAATAAACGTACTGCTTCCCCTACCATCGTCTGTAAGAGAGAAAGAAAATATGTGATTTCAGGTCATTGTGAGGAGTCTTTACTGCCACGCTAGCTCCTCTCCTTTCCTCTTGTGTGCTTACTGGGGGCGGAGCTTTGAGCACACCGTGATAGATCCTCAGCAGTCTAGAACGTCTTGCTCTCCCAGTATGAGCTGCTCTGTGTCAATAAAGTAAGGCTGGAATTCAACCGTGGTGTTCCGTCTGGAGATGCAGGGACTATGAGCAACTGCTAGCCGTTAGGCTAACTTCTGCAGTGTAAAATGCCATAGGCTGAAGCTAGTGGTGACTAGTGTTGCACTGTGATGTATATACTAGATAATGACACCTTTTCTAAATTATTCATGCAGCACTTTCCTTGTTGTTTAAAAAAAATATATACATCTGTGCAAATCAGGTAGCATATGAGACGATACAGATATAACTCTGCAATAAGAGAGAGAGAGATCTGCTTTTGATGCAGATCAGCGGTGTAATGTGAAACCCTTGGTAAGTGTGGGTATTGTATCGCATGCATGTGCATGTGCATGTACTAGGTCCCTTTGTTGAACACAAGAAGGATTAGTGGATGTTGTCCGTTGTGAGTGCGGATGATTCCCTACCAGAACAGGAAGCCAGGACACCAGCAGTATGGAGTTGTAGGTTCCAAGTGTTCGGATCAGAACCACAAATCGTTTCACTGTTGCTCCCTGTTCAAGAAAATGAACACGTTTCAATGAAGCTGGACAATAAATACAGAACTAACTGCATCTCTCTCTCTCTCTCTCAGCACTGTGTAGAACATCAATGGTGAAAAACAGGAAGTGACCTGTGTGATGAAGAGGTCCATCCAGGCCAGCAAGTTGATCAGAACCAGACTGAGGACAAACAGATCATTGACCTCCGGCTGGATGGAACGCAGGAAAGTATCCATGGCAGCCAGGGACAAGAACTCCCCGGTACTAAAGACAGGAGAGGAGGAGGAGGAGAGGAAGAGACAAAGAGAAGAGGGGAGAGGAAGGAGGGGAAGAGACAAAGAGAAGAGGGGAGATAGGGGGAGGAGGAGAGGAAGGAGGGGAAGAGACAAAGAGAAGAGAGGAGAGGAGGAGAGGTGGAGACAAGGAGAGGAAGAAGAAACAGACGGATTAAGGACATTTGTATTTGTTTGTAGAAACAATAATCCATTATCATTCCCATGTTCAATCATCACCTGTTGCCATAGCGATAGATGCCCTCCGGCATCTTGAGAATGTAGGCGGGGCTCTGTGTCACATCAATCTCTGATAGGATGCTGTGGTCGTCCCAGTGACGTACATCCACGAAGATGAACTCAATCCTGCCGGTGAACTTGACGGACAGCGCGGAGAAGAAGGCGGGCGGCTGGGACAGACGAGCGAACAGAAACATCTTCACCGGGTGGGCCGGGTCAGAGCGCCACTCCTCCACCAGCTGCTCAGACTGACGCAGGGTTTTGATTCGATGAGCCACGTGTGAGGTCATCCAGCGGAAGATATGCTCCGTTTCAATGCGACGGCCGTTGTATTCTTTTAGCATGACTTTACCCTTGGATGCTGACGTCTGGGGAACGGACATGATGAGGGTGGAGCGCTGCCAGCCACGCTTGATACATGACCTGGGGGACACCACACAGAAGCAGTGCAATATTAACAACCATTCAGTACAATTGATATCATATATTTGTTCTTTAACTTATTTATTATACCTTTACTGTGCGATTACTTATTTCTACTTATGTCTCTTGTTAGTTCCTCTGAATTGTCCACTCTGCTGCTGTAATCCTGCAAATGTCCCTGCTGTGGGACTAGTAAAGGATTATCTGATCGTATAAGGCTCATCGCCAATACGCAATCGTATTGCCGGCAAAAATACACACAAAAGTAGAGGAAAATAGAGGTGTCCAACAGAACAAGGAGACATCTAAGTTCAGAGTCTAAATGAGCATTATTGGTCATGTGTGTCGGTGCATTTGAAGCTTCCCACCTGTAGTCATTAGAGCAGTTGAAGGTTCCAGTTCTGATCCCAAACTGAGATACCTTCTGCACCATCTTCCTCCAGTTGGACTGACTGAGCAGAGCTTCCCGGTCCTGGGCGATGACCTGCAGGTACACAGGGACATGACGGGTCAGACAGCTAATACTGAACAACTCTGTGAACCCTTCTGACAGTGGAAGTCCTAAACTGTGTTGTCCTCTTGCTTTATCCCATTCACAACAAATATTACAGCCAGGCGTTGTTATTTTGGCCAGTGTGGTCCTCGGAGCAGAACGTGGGCTGTAGGCGACTGTTTGATATAGTGGAGGACAGGTAGCGGAACACACATCCCGAGTTCATTTTCTTGAATCCAATCAACACCTGTGCTCTGTATCTGGATACAATGTGTGAGTAACACCATGTGATCCCTGGATTTTGCATTAATAAGCATTTGTGATCATAAAGCAGGGCCTATTGGGACAAACTTGTCTTGAATCTAACAAACTGAACCAGGATAAGTCTGTTTCATTAAGCTGGTTTGTAGCTAAGATGAGCAGACTGAGTCAAAAACAGTTTCATTCACAAATATGAAACACAGACTTGAGAAATCATCACGTCAATTCATAGTGAAGGAAACAAACACGAGTGCAAACAGTGATGTTCGCTGACACATGTAAAACATATAACATTGATAGTAAAGTATGACATTCAAATGTGATAAATCACTGCAATAAACAAAGCATCATGTTGTAGACCAGTGAATGGCTCAGACTCCACTAGAGACTCATTCAAATGAACTGGTGAAGTGTCTTCATATAATAAGTGCTGAAAATGAAGAATAAGATGACGATGCACCATACTAGTGCTGGGCAGTATACCGGTTTTAATTCCCCGTATGGAATGATTTTTTCTCATACCGTCATACCGGTGCACAGAAACTACTGCTGTCACTCTTCAACAGGCAGCAGAATATATTCTTCGCAGCTAGGAGCGCTACAGTCGGAGCTAGTATTATTGAGAGGGACCTCCTGTCATGGTTATAACTTTATAACACAACAATTAATAACCCACAACTAACACTCTTTAACAGGGCAAAACACCACGACACAACAGTTTGTGACACATAAACAATTTGTAACACTAATAATTGTACATTTATAAAATTACACCGCCGAACGGCATGCTGGGTACAGCTCGCTAGCTAGCCCGCTAGCACAACAGTCTGTTAACAGCAACGTTACATTAAAGAACAGAGCGATGCAGGATGAACAAAGTGAACCGGAGATGCACCGATAGAGTCTGTGCCCAAGAGAGGAGCTTGAAGAGGCATTTGCTCGAAGCAGCATATGACAAGAAAAGCAAGCGGTGGAGCGACATTACGAACGCAATAAGGATCCAGCTCTGCAAGGACATGGTCCCGCTACAGACAGTCGAGAAAGACTCAGAGCAATGATTAAAACACAGGATTCAAGGTACGTCTGACCACTGCGGTCAAGTCAGCAGACACTCAGATCTCCGTGGTCAACTCAGCAGACACTTAAATTGTAGTGCACCTATACGCTGAAACTTACGGTAAATTATATTCCAATAAGTACAAAAAATGATACCATCATCTCGTGAGTTAAAGGGAAAATACACCTAAATTGTGCATAAAGTGTATTTATTCTTTGATTTGAGGGTTGCTGGAAATTAATAATACCTGACTGAGTCAATTAAGATGTTTTACGAAGCAAAAACTCTGAACTGAATTTATATCTTCAAATGGCAAATTTCTGAAGTTTTTAAGGTGCTATGAAAATGTTTTTCTCAATAATTCCCCACAATGACTAATGCATATATGTTCAGGACAAAAAAAGGCTAATATCACAATATTTGAGCTGCTACAAAAATATTTTTCTCAATAATTCCATACAATGACTGATGTATATGTAATCAAGGCATCGTTGACTCCACCCATAGAGAAAATAAGACATTTTGACTGTACCAATTAAGAGATATTTCAAAGTAAAAGTCATATATTTGAATCGAGAAACTATCTAATAAATGAATATTTGAAGTGTAATAAAAACAGTTTTCTCAATAAGTCCAGACAATGACTTATATGTATGTGTTGAGGACATCGTTGACTCCACCCACACTGAAAATTAGACATATTTACTGTCCCAATTAAGAGAGAGTCTGGTTCAGGAGTAGCTTGACACAAGGAATGCGACAGTTATAGCACATGTCCTGGATACGTCTGTGTGTGGTGGCTCTTGAAGCACTGACTCCAGCCGCAGTTCACTCCTTGTGATTCTCAACCAAATTCTTGAATGACGTAAACCTCAGAGAGAATCTATGGGGTATTGTCAAGAGGAAGATGAGAGACATCAGACCCAACAATGCAGATGAGCTGAAGGCCCCTATCGAAGCAACCTGGGCTTCCATAACACCTCAGCAGTGCCACAGTCTCATCGCCTCCGTGCCACGCCGCATTGATGCAGTAATTCATGCAAAAGGTGCCCCGACCAAGTATTGAGTACATACTTTATACTGTGCATAGACATACTTTTCAGTAGGCCAACATTTCTGTATTAAAAAACCTTTTTTAAATTGGTCTTATGTAATATTCAAATTTTCTGAGATACAGAATTTGGGGTTTTTATTAGCTGTAAGCCATAATCATCAACATTAAAAGAAATAAACACTCGAAATATATCACCTTGTGTGTAATGAATCTACAGTTGTGTGAAAAAGTGTTTGCCCCCTTCCTGATTTCTTATTTTTTTGCATGTTTGTCACACTTAAATGTTTCAGATCATCAAACAAATTTAAATATGAGACAAAGATAACAAGTAAACACAAAATGCAGTTTGTAAATGAAGGTTTTTATTATTAAGGGGGAAAAAAAAATCCAAACCTACATGGCCCTGTGTGAAAAAGTGATTGCCCCCCCCCCCCCTGTTAAAACATAAATTAACTGGTTTATCACATCTTTGGAAAGCCGAGTTCAATTTCTCTAGCCACACCCAGGCCTGATTACTGCCACACCTGCTCTCAATCAAGAAATCACTTAAATAGGACCTGCCTGACAAAGTGAGGTAGACCAAAAGATCCTCAAAAGCTAGAAATCATGCTGCGATCCAAAGAAATTCAGGAACAAATGAGAAACAAAGTAATTGAGATCTATCAGTCTGGAAAAGGTTACAAAGCCATTTCTAAAGCTTTGGGACTCCAGCGAACCACAGTGAGAGCCATTATCCACAAATGGCGAAAACATGGAACAGTGGTGAACCTTCCCAGGAGTGGCCGGCCGACCAAAATTACCCCAAGAGCGCAGCGACGACTCATCCAAGAGGTCACAAAAGACCCCAGAACAACATCCAAAGAACTGCAGGCCTCACTTGCCTCAAGGTCAGTGTTCATGACTCCACCATAAGAAAGAGACTGGGCAAAAAAAGCCTGCATGGCAGAGTTCCAAGACGAAAACCACTGCTGAGCAAAAAGAACATAAAGGCTCGTCTCAGTTTTGCCAGAAAACATCTTGATGAT